TCTATTTTATGAGCATTTCTTTCATTGTTTCTTCCAGGAGGAGTGCATCGACGTGCTCAAAGTGGTAAAATCCCGCATCAACTCTCAACACGAAGATATCTCCTCTCACCTTCTGCTGTCCATCTTTAAGATCGCAGAAGTTGACGTCATATACCCCACACCACCCAGTTCCGCCTATTCCATCAAACCAAGCAAGAACATTTACATCATCATTGTGTTCTTAACTATACTCTACCACCTCAAAAATTTCATTAACATTGCCATTATTAAAATGGTCAATTTGATATCGGATTTATTCGATAATAATCGTAAAACGGCATGTTCGAATTCTATATCATGTTTTGAAAACGTTCCTTTCGTAAAGAAATATTTTGTAAACAACAATTTTGTATCTATTTTGAAGAGTTACGATGAATTTATTCATAGTGTAGACGTTGTAATCACTGCGCACGCATTTGCTTTAGATGACGCACAAAAGAACACTGATCAATTAAAAATAAGGGATATAGGTGTAAATATTTATAAGGAAACTAAGCATATCATAAAAGCTGTGAGTACTACAATATTTACTTATTTAAATGAACTTGTTGCTGACGCAATTATACTTAAATATTTTTCTAGAGATGTGTATTATGAATGTACTAATTCGAAGCTTTTTGGTGAATTCTTTTTTGAAAAAAAAATGCGTCCTCTTCTTATGGGATTGCAAAATCCACTAGCTTAGGACTGACTCTAGTAGTAGTTTGAAGACTGAGATGAACTAACATATCATAGTTAAACGTGTTTCGTTTTATTTTCGACTTAGTACTGGTGCTTGTAGGTCGATCTTAAAAGGCTGGGTTTTGTAAATAAGTGTATCTTGCCTTCACTGTTAGTTATTTATTCCAGTCTGTTTCTTAACAATAGTTGTTGCAGGTACAAAATAACACTTTATATGATTCTTTTGATCAACACATCTGCTTCTAATCTCATTTTTAATTTTCATTTCTAATGTTTATGAACCTACCTACCCATTTTATTATTTCTTTAGTACTACTATTGTTGGAAATGAAACAAGTTGTTCGTATGATATAGTAATCATAATTTTTATTTTCCTTTTCAAAACATTGTTGTATAAAAATAAGTAAACTGGCTGAAGCCTGAACTACCCTACTAGGTTACCCTGTGCGGTCTTCGGCAGTTTGATTTTGATTGCCTCTCCCGATCGGAAACTGCGTCTTTTCCGAGTCGAGGCGCATAATTGTGATTCACAACTGGCTGATCGGAAACTTTTGACATTTGTAATCGGAACAGTAATTGATTTAACTCACAAATTAGAAAGATATAGTAAGAATCAGGTTCATCTTCTCGCTCAGAAACCTATCTGATTTCGAGACTACCCGATCGGTCCAATTCCAATTTGAATCAAAATCAGGACGCAGGTCAACACGGTCACTACTGACATGATGGGACCTGTAAAACTGTGAACGTTTACATCTGAAAAAATTGTTTCATTTCCATGTGTGACAATCGCAAAAATAAAAGAAATATCGATTTCTTGTATTACATTATACGTATGCTATTGTTTGTTGTACTTTTTACATATTGCTTCTACCGAACTTTAATAACCTTCAAATCTGCAAATACAGCACTAGCGAAACACTAGCGAAGCTGTTCGGAGAAAAACGCGGGAAAAAACATATTTTTAAATACCCTGACATATTTATGTTGCTTAGAAATCTTTAACGCACATACTCATAACTCTGCACTAGGGAAGTGTATCACGGGTGCCATGGACACACACACATAAACAGCCACAAACTACACCCAAACTCACGAAAGAAATTAAAGGTAGGCTATAGGCTATAAGCCTACGTTTAATTTCTTTCAAATATTTCTCCCGGCCCGAGAATCGAACCCGAGACCTCTGCGTTTCAATCCAGCATGGTAACTGTTCGCCCATGGAGGCAGTTAATCTCGTGTTTTTCTCCAAACTGCCATTTTGCAAGTGCTGCATTTACAATTAGCGGGGAAGAAAAGGTCGTGATAACAGAAATTCATTATCTTCACATATATCTTAAAGTTTGGTATTCTTTGTCATTTTTCTCTCTTTACGCCTTTAAATCATCCATACCTCGTCCTCCTTTTTGCCTACCGGCTGGTCCTTACTCCAGCTACTTATTGCAACAGTTGCCGGTAACTGTAATCTTTTACTTTCTTTCGATTAACTGTTAATTAGAAACGCTGTAGACAGCCTTTCTATTAGGTAATTGTGTAGGTCAATGTGAACGCACTTAGATGATAATTAGACAAGTTAGCGGCTTTTGTATGATATTTGAATGTATGACGAACTGTGGGTAGAAAGAAAAACGAACAACTTAAAAAAAGGTAAACGAATTATAACTATATCAACCAAATTGGAACTCAACACAATTTTGAAATCCGAAGAATGACTGGCTAAATTGAGGCCATCAGCACAAAAATGGGTAACTTACTTTCGATTTTTTTTTTCTATAATATGATTTAAATTATACTAAAGTTCATAATTATTTCATATTTGGATGCTATTTCACGTATAAAAACATTAATTGGTCATATTTATTATAGCCGTTTGAATTCATTGTGCATAAAAGATAACCTATTCAACATGTTACAAATACTATTTTAAGATGTTATTAAAATGAAATATAATAGGAAAAAGTAGTGAGATATCAAGTTAAAACCATCAGATATGAATGTGTAAGTTATTTAATGATTGTTTAAGAATTTTATCCAAGCCGGTTTGTTTTCTTCTCATGAAATATTTATTGACACGAGCTATATGTATACCTATACATACATTACCTATTATACATATATATACATATACTACTACTATACCTATATACCTTACTACATATACATACCTATATATACATATTATATACCTATATAAAATTATTTTGGCTAATTTTAAATCACTCATCTAATTATTAGTCTAAATGCATTTCATTGAGTTACACCACTTTTGCGCTGATAGCCTCAATGAATAAATAGTACCTACATATAGGTTTTGTAAAAATTGTCAAAGATTGATCACCAAATAGTTTGTTATATTTGAAAATTATTATTGTATTTGTTATCAAAAACATATAACAACCTTTACGGCCATTGCTTGTCGTGTTAAATCTAAATCTAATTTAAGCTTTAAATCTTCTAAAATATTAAATTATTTAAATGTGCAACCGTACAGCAACAAATGCCTGCTTTATTTAATTGAGAACTGACAATTAACAAAAATACTCGGATGAAAGAACGCTTACTAATAAACCTTAATAAATAACATGAGATGAGGTGTTTTACAAGAATGATTGGCATAATACGTGTAAATGCAAAAGGCGTTAATTATTGTCCAAAGATGTACTTGTACGTTAGTTAAATTACACTTAGACGTATTTTCTGGGATTCACGACTAGGTTAAAGTTACAGGACATCGGCATTCTCGGGGTTGAAACTTGAGTTTGACTGTCATAACATCCCACAATACATCAAAAGATTCCATCTTCAAAAGTAAAAAAGTATCACATTAATTTACCATTAGGGTCAACATACACAAAAGCAAAAACTGCTCGAGCTCTTCAAATTGACATTTTCGAGGCTTTAAAAATGTATTCATATATTGTAAGAAATTAATACCTAACATTTCTTACCAACTTAATAGAGTTATTTGTTAAATACCCACTAATAGAATAAAAACGTAAGAAAAAAGGTGTTTGTATGAATACGGAATACAAATTATAAGCACTAACATTGTGAGTGATTTCTCCAATGGGCTGTCAAAAAACCTGTGGTTAATGTATTACCAACGGGTAACTAATGGCATTAATCAGTTTTAGCCGTTTCCTTTTTATAACTGACTTTCCTTGTTTATTTCCTTTAGTCAATTGCACCCTTCAACCCCGAGATGTCCCTTTTCTAAACGTATTAAAATGGTAAAGAACGAAGCTTTAATTTGGGGTAGACATAGTGTCTTACGTTCTTAAGTAAATAGCTGTGTGGTTAGTTGTATTAGATACTATGTACAAAGTTACTGGATGCGTCAGTTTTGGTTAATGAATATAAGTTATGTTCTAGACAGACAGTTTTATTTTTTAGGAGTACAGAAATAATATAAGCTACTTATGAGTCATGATCATGAGCCATTAAAATTGTAAACTGCAAATAGTTCTTTGGAATAAACATGTATACTTAGCACAAAAAAGCACGCAAAAAGCCTAGTGCATTTATTTTTAAACAAAAGTTACTAAAACAAACCGTTAATACCTGTCAAAAAATGATATTTATTAATCAATACGCACTAAAGTACTTTTTTGTTCTGTAGACAATCATAAAAAATTTTCCTTCATGTAATAATTTTATTGGAATAGGAGAGGATTTTTAGTTTCTAGTGATGTGATATATTTCATTGTTTTTTTTTTCTTACAGTGGTAATTCTGTCTGTATTGACCCTTAAACACACTTTTTTACATAAATAAACCTACTGCCATTTTTTAATATAATTTCATGTTTTATATGTATTATACAGAAAACTGCTGAAACCCTGAAAGAAATGCAAGCAGTGTTCTATATTCGTGTCTTCTTCTTTTTCTTCGGTATAATAATAGCGTTCGTGCTGTCAGTCGAAGCAATTATTTACTACAAATGCAAGAGCTTTTATTTATTTCATTTTTTTCATTAGACCATGAAATACAATGTCAATGTGTAAAGCAAGAAATGAATGAATGGTTTTTGGTTTACGTAAAACACAAAGCTTTGTTTACGCTCATAAACCAGTGTAAATCTAGTAGTGACAGAAAAGTGTGAAATACGTGTTATTTACACCTATTATATGTATAGTGTACAAAATTTTTATATTATTATTTCAAAATAAAAACAACTTGAAAAGCGATCTACAGACAAAGACGTTTAATGGCGTTTCCGTTACGTGATATTATTAGAACTTATAATATTTTAATGTAACGAATATAATGATCCAGTCATGAGAAAAATTATCCGCAAGATAAGATCCGCAACTTGCGACTTCTTTCCCTTGGGACAGTAGGCTTCATCGGGTCAGATTAAAGTGAACTGCTGGAAATACGTTCATTCCGCAACAAAGCAACAGCCTTGAGTACTATTTTAAAAGTCGAGTTTTACGATGATCGACGATTGCATTGTCACCCTATTTTAGAATAATGTATTTGACATTTTCTCGTTTATCATTTCGTTACTGCAATAAAAAGTTTACTTTATCAATTTAGATAAAAGTTTTATATTTTAAGGTATCCCGAGACGTTCTATATTTAAATTAACGTAACGGAACGAGAAAATTCTAATAAAAATAAATTCAAGTCTAAATAAAATAATAATATTATTAGAATGAAATAGGGTAACTATGCAATAGTTAGTTCCTAGAAAATTCTAAACCTCGGTCGAAATTAGTACTACAGAAAATTAAATCCAGAATTATTATTATTGGTAAATATTACGTCATAAAACCATGATTTATAAACTCCCCCAATTACCTTAATCGTTTAAAAAAAAATCTCGGTTCAACTATTCTCATAGTTATTTATATAACACAAATGCACGGACACGCTTATGATCTATATTCATATACAATTTTAATATAAATAATATATCACCTTCTCTTGTTTTTTCTATATAATAAATATGTCGTTAAAAGTAAACAGTCAATGTCATATTACAAATAAAGTCTATTTTGAGTGATTACTTGGTTATATTAAATATAGATTGTGGTTAAAATGCGATTTTTACATTTGGTAACAAAAATGTTCTACGTTATAGAAAAACATACATATCACATAAAAGA